ATTATTATTATTATTATTATTTATATTATTATTATTATTATTATTATTATTATTATTATTATTTAGTGCTTACACCTTGTTTATTTGCGACTTATAAATTGACCTACTTTTATAAAATATAGATTTTTTTTTTCATTTTCTAACGAACATTACAAGTTCCATTTTTGAGTTGAGCAACCAAATGTTGATTGACGTCTGTATACCTGCGTCTGTAAAGTTTCCTTGAATGAACAAAAAATCGCCTGCACTCGTGAATTCTGTATTTAGGCATATGGGGGAAGGTAGGCACTCCTAATGGAGCGACGTTCTAGTTCTCTTTATGCTAACCACGAAGATGTATAGTAAATGTAACTGATTGGCTTACAGTAAACCTTCAATCTAACGTAATAGAACAACATTTAAAATCCATCTAATTTAACGAAAACAATAAGATACTTAATTAGGCCATTTCTTAAAAACAGAATTTACAGTACACTTTAGTTAATGTGTTATAGGTTGTAAAAACTGTATTGAGTAAAGAAAAAAAATCTTTCGAATAAAATAATCTTTCACTTGACATTAGAAATGTGAAACAAAATGAGAGGCTATGTCAAGTGTTATATTGAACAGTGGCAGATTCAAGGGGGAACCCAGTCAACACGGGACCCCATCCTCCTATTTTATTTTTTCAAAATTATTTTTAAAAAATAGAGAAAACAGACAAAACTATATTCAACCTTTAATCTGAGAGTGCCATTTCCGGCCATCTAGAGGTGCCATAATCAGGGACGTAGTCAGGATTTTGAAAGGGGGAGGGGGAGCCGTTATACGAATTACGTATGACCCCGGCGGGGTCAAGGGGGCGAATACCCCTGTGAAGTAGCGCACTTTGAACGTTCTTAGGACTGTTTGAGAAGATAAAGTCAAAATTGCAATAGACGCATTATAAATAAGCGCAAAAATAATTATATGAATAAATCAACAGTGGCAGATCCAGGAATTCGAAAGAGAGGTGAACCAGGGAGGGACTTTCACAGAGCGAGGAACCACCCACCTCAGCCCCACCATGGTTGGGGCTGAGGTAAGAAAATTTAGGATTAGGGCATCTCTAGATGGCCGGAAATTACACTCTCGCACTTCAATTTGAATATACTCTCGCACTTCAATTTGAATATATTTTTCTTTTTTTTTTCCTTAAAAAAATGAAGGGGAGGAGAGCCTTGAATCCACCTCTGCTTAAAACATTCTTTATCCAGAATAGTCATAATCACGAAAAATGTACATGAAAAACCAGATCACATCCTAAAAACAAACAACAGTCACTAAGACATACATCAGGAGCCGACTCGATGGAGTTTAATGTCATACCCAGGGAAGGGCACAGATCTGTTTTGAATGGTGGAGGGGGAGGGCATTTTGTGAGTCGACACCCACCTCAGCCCCACAATGGTTGGAGCTGAGGTGAGAAAATTTGAGGAAATAGTACCTCTAGATGGCCAGAAATGACACTTTTAGTAAAATTCATCATCATCACATCACCATTAGTCAAAATGGAGCGCCAAAAAAAAAGTCTCATGATCTTTTATCAGCGATTTTTGACAACCATAGAGATCTTATTAATGTATGTGTGTATCCCATAGAAACCAAAGCTTAAAAACATTGTCTTTGAGTATGTACTTTACATATATAGGCCTGCTTCAAAAACGTGATTTCACAACCACTTCAGCCCCACCATGGCTGAGGGCTGAGAAAATTTGAGGAAATAGTACCTCTCGAGATGGCTGGAAATGACACTTTTATATAGTAAAATTCATCATCATCACATTACCATTATATTCAAAATGAAACGCCAACAAATTTCTCATGATCTTTTATCAGGGATCTACTTAATATCCAGGACAACTTAGACCTAATTATAGTTTACTAAGCTTTAACTATATATACTATATTATGATCAACAAATCACAACTTTTTTCGCATTTAACACAATTTTCTTCACTTTTTATTGTTATTAATATTAATATAAATTATTACTATCGTCATCATTATCATTGTTATTATTATTATTACTATTAGTAGAGTATTATTAAACAAACATTTAAAGAAACTTGCAAAAGGATAAAAACGAAATTGAACCACAGTATCGCATTTCTATCTTAAAAGACCTGGCCTGAGATTTATGGATTTAAGATTTTTTTAAATCACGCTTAGGCCTATGTGTTCTATTAGGCCTATGTATAACGTGTACTGATGCATATTTACATGTTTAAAGTATTCATTTTGAGTGATCCCAGGAAAGAATTTGTATTGGCTCAAGAATAAGCTTTAAAATTTTAACAGTGTGTAGGCCTACAAAAAGGGGAAGGGGAAACACCGCGGCTCCCACAGTTAAATTAGTATTAGAAACTTTTTAGTAGGAATACATATATACAGTACAGAAAATGTACAATAGTCAGCGAGTTCGTCAAACAAGGTATAACAAAAAGTCTCGCCTTGGGTAGCATCTTTTTAAAGAAAATCATTAATTTCATTTAAAAAAACACAAGTTACTGATTGATTAATTAATTCTATTTTCAATAAGAAATGATTATTCAAATTAATTAACTTTACATGTTATAAACAATGCAAATAAACAGTAGTTAAAGCATGTGGATCAATTGTGGGTTTGAATCACAAGTTCACGTATGGGAAAAGGGAGAGGCTTACTTTCTCGCAAACTTAGCAATAAATTGTCTGTTTAGAGTTTATTCAAAGAAGTATTGCTTTTAGTAAACTGAATAATTAGGAATACATTTATTTAAGCAACTAATTTAGTTGCATACTTGGTTTTTACTCATCACTAACTAAATCCAAGTGCCTACTACTGGCTTAGAATTATATATAGTTATGTATGGCAATTATGCTAATAATTAAAATGGCGTGTGATTGTGAGGGTAGGGTGATTATGGTAGGATTAAGTGGTATTGCTAAATCCCACAAACCTCCCAACAAAACACTGTAGAAAATCAAACAATTCAATTGTGATTGACTGACTTGGTATATCAATAAGAAAAAATACTTGCAAATACACCACAAACCTCTAAACACACTGCAAACCCAATTTAAACCATATAATTATGATTGTAGAACTCTCTTTTTCTTAAAACAAAAAATAATAATTTGATGTTCATACTAACCCACTGTTTGTGGGGTTTACCAATACACAGATTGAACTTTTGGAAAATTGTGATTTCGCTTCCGTGAAATCGGCCACAAGTAAATTATTTTAGTATTAATAAATGCATGATTTTGATTTATTGATTATGTTGGTTGCTATTTTTTAACATTTAAATGGAAAAAAAAAATAAAAAGTGTAATTCATGGCTTTTTATTTATCTTTGAATATTTTATCATTGAATATTAATTCTTGCAAAAAGTAAAATGTAAATGGCAATTTATTTGATGTTTGATTCCTTTTAAAAACTAAATTATTTAAGATAAAAAAAATGCATATATTGACTCAAGAAAATCAGTTTTAATACAGAATTTGATTATTGGGGCCATTTTTACCGGGGCCATTTTTTCTGGGGCCATTTTTTCCGGGGCCATTTTTTCCAGGGCCATTTTTTCCGGGGCCATTCTTACCGTACACCGACAGATATAGCAGAATGAATAAAGCAAATGACTTAGAAAGCAGTATAAGGTTTACAGTATAGATTTAAGTGGCGGAATCAGGGGGAGGACGACTGCCCAGGCCCCCTCTCCTAAATTTTGCAAAATAAAAAAACCATAGTGAAAAAAAAGAAAATTGTATTCAAATTTAAGTCTCACAGTGCCATTTCTAGCCATCTAGAGTTGCCATAATCATACATTTTTTGTTATCTCAGCCCTAACCTGGTGGGACTGAGATGGTCTACATCCTCCATCTATGAAAGCCCCTCTCTGGGCCCCATTATTTAAAATTCCTGGATCCACCACTGCACTGTACTGGATTAGAATCTATATGAAATGACACAAGAAGAAAATAAATCCCATGTTTAAGAGTCAATCCCAGTCAATTCGTATATGACAGTCCGCAGGAAAAATATCCGATCAGTTTATCATCAAGGTAAAACACACTGTGAGCCTATACCGATACCCATAATGTTCAAGAAAAAAGATCATTTATATAGTTATGTTGAGTAAAACACTGATGACCAAATCAGTGGTGGTGCCAGTGGAGTCTGAGTGGCTACATCCCACTCCCCTCCCCGTAAAGGGGAGCTCCCTAGCCGGGGAGAATTTTAAAAACGAAATTTGGGGAGGAAAAAATTAATTTACGTGGTGTGAGACTCGTTTAAAGCCTTTCAAATCTCTAAATTGTCAGAGTTCCCCTGCCCAGGGGAGTTCCCTTCTTGGCCCATTGTGGGGGTTGTGGATCATCCCCTTATTATTATTATTATTATTATTATTATTGTTGTTATTGGTATTATTGTTATTATTGTTATTATTATTATTATTATTATTATTATTATTATTATTATTATTATTATTATTATTATTATTATTATCGTCATCATCATCATAGCGGTAACATCTGTACCCTCCCTGTAAAACCAGACACATTCAACAACATTGGGCCCCGCATTGGGTCCCTCCACTCTTTCACAAAAAAGCGGGATAGCCCTTGAATGTTAGTGCTTTATATTAGTATGTCTTTATCTCCTGTTAGATCTGTACCTTGAGGTACCTACATGGTCTGTCTGACATAAATTTATTGACTAAAATTAGTGTCTACCAGAGGGAAACACAGGATTTAATTTAAACATCTTTTAACAATTCAAGTAATAGTACAACTCATTGAAAAGGG